GGTGCAGGGATAGGGTAAGTGGGGATGGGGGTGCAGGAGTGGGGGGTGCACGAGGACAGGGGATACAGGGAAAGGGGGTGCAGGAAGGGGGGTGCAGGAAGGGGGGTGCACCGTGCCCCCATCCGACCCCACTGTGTCCCCCCCCCAGGGCTGGTGGCGATGGCGGCGGGCGTGACGGACATCACCACCTACCACACCATCTTCCTGCTCACCATCCTGGGCGCCCTGGCCCTGCTCGTCCTCATCCTCCTCTGCCTCCTCATCTACTACTGCAGGTCAGCACCCCCCCTGCCCCCCACCCCCGGGGTCCCCACTGTGGCCTGGGGGGGGGGAACAGTCCCCCCCTGGTACCCTTGGGCATCCTACAGCTGGGTATGGGGGGGGCAGCACTCGCCTGGCACCCTATAGCTGGATATGGGGGGGACACTGCCTGCCTGGGACCCCTGGATGCCCTATAGCTGGCTTCTGGGTGGGGGGCACACCACCCCCTGGCACCCTATAGCTGACTTTGGGGTGGGGGCACCATCTTGGGGCACCCCTGGGCATCCTATAGCTGGCTTCTGGGTGGGGGGCACCTCACCCTGGCATCTCTGCCTGCCCTGTAGCTGGCGTTAGGGGGGGACCCCCACCCCCAGGAGCCCTAGAGCTGGCTTTTTTGGGGGGAGCACCACGCCCTGGCAACCTATAGCTGGCTTTGGGGTGGGGACACCACCCTGGGGGCACCCCTGGGCATCCTATAGCTGCCTTCTGTGTGGGGGGCACCTCACCCTGGCACTTCTGCCTGCCTTGTAGCTGGTGTTAGGTGGGACCCCCACCCCCAGAAGTCCTATAGCTGGCTTTTTTTTGGGGGTACCACCCCCTGGCACCCCTGGGCATCCTATAGCTGGGTTCTGGGTGGGGGGCACCTCACCCTGGCATCTCTGCCTGCCCTGTAGCCGGTGTTAGGTGGGACCCCCACCCCCAGGAGCCCTAGAGCTGGCTTTTTTTTGGGGGGGCCCCCTGCCCCCCCAGCTGCCCTATGGCTGCCTGCAGCCCCCTCCTTAGGCACCCAACAGCGAGGGAGGGGGGTGGGGTGACCCCCACCGTGCCCCCCCACCTCGGGGTGACCCCCCCCCACCGTCTCCCCGCAGGCGGCGGTGCCTGAAGCCTCGGGCCCAGCACCGAAAGCTGCCGCTGCCGGGGCCTCTGGAGGCCGCGAGGCGGGACCAGGCCACGTCGGTGTCCCAGCTGGACCTCCTCTGCGGGGGCAGCCACCTGGAGACGGCCTCCTCGGGGGGGGACACCGACCTGCCCACCCCCGGTTTACCTAACCCCTCCACCCGGGACCTC